GGATCTAATTTGGAAATAATTAGTTAGGAAATAATTAGGATCTAATTTGGAAATAATTAGTTAGGAAATAATTAGGAGACAATAATTACGAATTCTTTAGGAAATAATTAGTTAGGAAATAATTAGGCAATAATTAGGGATTACTTAGGAAATTATTAGGGAATAATTAGGTTTTACGTTTTATATATAGTTTATATAAGTGTGTATGTATACATACATTTACTTTTGATGTACAATTTTTTCATTAATAAATAATATCATTTTTCGAATCTTAATTTTAAGGTGTACGAATATTAATTGAGCCAATTCAAGATAACAAAAAGGCAATAGTCAGTATTGGTGGGATTTATTGTACTGTACAATTGGTTAGTGACAATGCTTATCGGAGATTAGTGGCCTTTTTACTAGGCTGTATTTAGCGATAATCTGTTATCAACAGTGTAGGCGGCCGATCAATGACAGCACAGCACAATGTATTATTAATTTAATTATGAGGATCTTACCATGAGCATTAGGATATAGGCTAACTTTCTCGGGATTGGTCAATTTTATTCAATTGAATTTATACAGTTTAGAGTACTTTTACCCTCTAACTAGTTTGAACAAGTTTGTACGTACGTAATTAACTGACAGCTAAGCAAATATATCCGGTTTAACGTGACTTGGTCTCTAAGTCATACGAATGCTAAAAAGATCGAACTCAATAAAAGATTCGCATATTTACTTAATTAATGTAGCAGATTAAAGTGAGAATCAGATTAAAATGAAAATTTTGTATAGTGTTAAAAGAGTGCATTTTTTTTTAGCTTTTTTAGGGTTAGGGGTCAGCTTTTGGAGCATAAATGGGTTTTATAACACACACCTGTCGGAGGTGAGTGAAATTTGTGTATCACGTATTAGAAGTGACACAACAAGATGCAGGAAATGGCGCTAGGTGTTTATGCCAGAAATAAAATAACCATGTTATTGAAATTATACCTCAGCATCCTAATGAATTATCAGTTATAATCAACATGACCAAGTATTATCATTCTATAAATGACCTGAGTTCATTCTTATGAGATTTTTTAAGCAACTGTATACACTAATCTGTCCAGGTAATCATGTAAACAAGAAACAACTTCAAATCAAGATGAAACCTCTCAATAAGAAGTCGAATAAATAAAAAATAAAAGCCTTTTCACTTAAAACTAGGAGAAAAAAGTTGTTCTTGAAATGTCCAAATATATTTTACATTATTAAACTTTTATGACAAGCGATTAATACAAATAACAGCGTTAAAACATCTAACAAAATGGCAGAAAATGACATAATTGTGATAACTGAAAATAACTTTCTGGCCAATAAGGAATCTCAAATTCAGGACAATATTAACACTTTAAAAAATAAAGTGCCGGCGGATGATAAATTGGATGTGCTGTTAAATGAGTTATATATGATCAAGAATACATACTCGCATAATTATGCTATTTTAGAATTAATTCAAGGTTTATTCGACGATTTCTTAAAAAAGTTCGAAAATGAAAATGATATCAAATCTATGCGTGTAGTCTCTAGGATTCTTCCAGAAATTATGATCGAATTTTTTAAAATTCGTATCGATAAATTTATTAAAACGTTTACATATAAGGAGGCTAAAAATGTCAAAGTTAATTCGGGAAACAACATTATATGGAATAAGTATTCGCAAATAAAAATCTTTGATGTTATCCTGCTGACCTTGATTATCTTACATTGCTAAAGTATTCTAGGTTTGTACATATTCTCAATTTTACTCTCATATACCATTGTATATTACATGCTGATTGCAGATTAGTTTACAGAAATAACTCAGAAAAGTCGGTAAAATTCCTCTACATTTGGCCACACTATATTATACTCCATTACTGGTCTATGCACATACCCTACTAAAGATACTAAAGATACTAAAGATACTAAAGATACTAAAGATACTAAAGATACTAAAGATACTAAAGATACTAAAGATACTA